CCGTAAAGATGTTGCGCCGGAAGTCCGCTCACCTGAACAAGACTGTCATCATTGATATGCTGTCCGAGACTCAGATGACCGACGAGATGGTCAGCGATGAGTATTTGGTTGAATTGATCACTAAATTTATATCCAAAGACTTGCCACAAGTGGTGAAGGATAAACTGCTGAGAGATATGCGCACAACGGGTGGCGATGTGTCCGCCAAACTGTCCAAACTGTCGGCTGAGTTGCGGGAGTTTGTGGGCAAAGGTCTGGTCAGCAAGAATTTGGACGATATCCTGAAGAATAGCTTCTTTAGAGCGAAACTATTCACTGGTTATCGACTGAAAATGAAGAACAAACTCAAACAAAAGGCACTGAATTTGGGCAAAAAGTTTCTCCAAATGAATGGCAAACTATTGATTATTAAGCCTAATGTCGAACAGCCGAAGGAGGCTAAGGATAACAAGCAATCGACGGCCACCGCCGGCCTCGACATCGATGGACAGATTGACCGAATTAAAGACTCTTACTTTTTACCCGATAAGGTATAGTTTGTTTTCAATTAATATTGTTTTTGCTTATATCATGTATTAATGTATTGTTTGTATGCCATTGTCTGTTGTGTCGGTGCCGATGGCCAGGGATTGGAGGGTAAACTCAACTTCAAGACAGTGGACGACAATCCCAATGATCTGAGTTTTGACAGAATCGCCGACTCTATCAACGAATTTCTTGTTAAATAATTTTTATTGTTTTTGTTTTGAATTTTATTTTTGATTATATTTCTTACATGTTTTGGTTATATTTTTACTTACTTTTTTGTAATTTTTTAAAGTTGAATAAAATATTTGAAAAATTAAATTGTATTTTAATTATTGACACAATTAGAAGCGATAGTTTAAAAGTTAATACAATACAATTATCATATCAATATACATTATTCAATTGATTTGTATTGATTTAATGTTTCTTGTTTTGTTGAACAGTTTATTGTAATTGAAAAATGTATTAAAATAATCACAAATCTCTGACAGATTGCTATTGAATTCAAACAAAATAATATTTAACAAAAAGAGAAAAAATAGTATTGATATAACAAATATGCGTTGAAATAAATGTCAATTTTCTATAAGTAATGAATGAAAGCAATGAAAATTAATGTCAATATAATTAGGAAACTGATTATAACGCCGGTAGCGATAGTCCAGGTGTGGGCGCCAGTGTTGGACAGTTCCGGGGCTATGTCTTCGGGGTTGGGCTGTCGTGTGGGTCGCGGCTGAGGACTGGTTTTGGCCAATTGGTCGCCGGCAAAGGTAACCAGATTTGATATATCAAAGAATTTGTCGTCAAAATTAAAGCCACAAAATTTAAATGATTTCATTTTCGGGCATTTCTTAGTAATTATTTTTAGGTCCGATTTCTTTAATCTAAACTTCATTTCTCTATTTTTTGGAAAAATAGATAGCGATTGCAGTGAAGATAGTCTTGAGATACAGAGCAACCATTGGCTGTCAATCGTTGAGATACCGGTGATATCGAGTGTCTGTAGTTTTGGTTGTGTGGACACAATCTGTTCAATAATATCGTACCGAAAGTCCCATATCCTGATCCATAAGTGTGTCAATTGTGGCCAACGATTCAATGCTTGTAATTGAGTCCAATCGGTGGTCCAATAGTAGACTAATAGCTCCAGACGTTTTAAACGTGGCATATATTGAATGGCATTCAGTATCTCTAAATTCAATGCCGTGTTATTTGAGGAAACAGATATTGAAAACCTCTTGAGTTTTACACACTTTATGCCAATTGTCTTAAGATAACCAGCGATTGAATACTGAAGAATCGGGTAATCGTTGAACCAAAATGTTAATTCTCTGAGTTCTTGAAATTCACTTAATTGTGTCATCAATTGAGTGACCATTGATTGCGATACAAGTCCTAAGTGTATGGCTTTGATGTGAAGGCTGTGAAGACGTGTCTTATAATAATTCACAAAAAATTTAAATGTATTTGCATTAAAGCCATCGGTTTCCCAAAAAAAGTGTAATTTTTTAATGCTATTAAATTGCTTTAATTGATTGTCTTCTTCGGTGGTAAACATATTGCAAATAGTAGTTAATTGACACAAATTGGGACAATTGGTGAGATAACGCAAGTTCTCCACAAAACACTTAAATTTAGTAATCATTGGACCAAATGTTGTGAACAAATACTGAAGAATCTGATGATCTCTATCACTGTTGAGACACATATTATTCACACCAAAGTCTATACTCTTGAGATACGGCCAACTGTTCCGCGAGTGATCGATGGCATCAAATAATGGTATCGTTAATACCGATGGCTCGTAATTATCGTGATTTACATTTAATCGTTGAATATTTGGACACTTTTTTTTGCAGATATGTAATCAATTTTTGACACCACTCTTCATCCGACAGATTGTTGTCTTTAGTGTATTGAATATCATAGAGATTGATATAAATATCATTGATTGTGTCAAAGATTACTCTCCGGAACTGTTTGGACACCAATTCGTGTTGACATTTGTCCCGAAATGTGTTTATCTGATCGTCGAATGAATGGTAAGACAATAAAAGTCGGGACAAATCATCACCGAATCGATAGAAAGAGTCTTTTAAATACATTATATATTTACGTATTTAATTGATTAATACTCTTATGTTTGAGATTTTTGTTAACAAAGAGTGTCTTAATATTTAATACATTTTAAAAACACTTTAAACTGATTTA